ACGACATGTCTTTTACAACTAAGCAGAAATCCTTAGCGAATTGTGTTTCTCGTACTCCCACAGAGTATATCCGAATAAAATGAGAAAAGGCAGCAAATATTTGATTTCACGCAAACAAATCCTATGTATCTCTTGATACGTATTTCGACCTAATAGGTCTTGTCAGAAGAGCTATTCATAGGGGTTCTCAACGTGAAAAATCAATATTTTCTGCCTTTTAAGAAGCAACAATAACATGGCTTCAATACGGACGCAGTAGCGACATCTAATTAAACAATCGTAAAATAGTTTCAAAACACAATTCAGATTTCTGCTTTATAATCTGAGCCTTCTAAGAATTGCAAGGCAAACAGACGTTGATAAAAGATGTTAAAAGAGACATGGGGAATCTAAAATTTGCATTCCACGACATGTCTTTTACAACTAAGCAGAAATCCTTAGCGAATTGTGTTTCTCGTACTCCCGCAGAGTATATCCGAATAAAATGAGAAAAGGCAGCAAATATTTGATTTCACGCAAACAAATTCTATGTATCTCTTGATACGTATTTCGACCCAATAGGTCTCGTCAGAAGAGCTATTCATAGGGGTTCTCAACGTGAAAAATCAATATTTTCTGCCTTTTTGATTTTTCACGTTGAAACCCCTATGAATAGCTCTTCTGACGAGACCTATCTATCTATGTATACAGCCCTTAAAATCCATCCTTGGATATAGGCCTCCTCCTCCTTCTTCCATGCCTCTCTATCTTGGGCAATTTGCATCCATTTTGACCCAGCGTGTTTCTTCAGGTCATCTGACCATCGCATTTGTGGCCTTTCCCTTTTACGTTTGTGATTCCATCGTCTCCAATGTATAATTGTTTTAGTCCATCTTTCATCTTTCTGCCTTAGGGTGTGTCCGGCGAACTTCCATTTAAGCTTTGCTACTTGGGTTGAGACATCTTTCATTTTTGTTTTATTACGGATCCATTCGTTTCTTTTTTTGTCTGATAGTTTAATGTTCAGCATTTGTCTTTCCATGGATCTTTCTGTCTTTGCTATTTTTTCCATATTTTCCTTTGTAAACGTCCATGTCTGAGAGCCATATGTGAGGACAGGGAATATACATTGATTGAAGACTCTCGTTTTTAAGTATTGGGGGTATTTTGAATTCTTTAGAATATAAGACAGTTTTCCGAATGATGCCCAGGCCAATCTTATTCTTCTCTTTATTTCTTCGGTCTGATTTTCTTTATTTAATTTAGTGATTTGGCCTAGATATATATACTCTTTTACTTGTTCTATTTTTGTTTGTGGGTTTTTGTTTTACTATAATTCATCTTGAGTCCAATATTTGTCGATTCTCTATCTAGTTCTTCCATCATTCTTTGTAATTCTTCACTTTTTTCTGTTATTAATACAATATCATCAGCATATCGTAAATGATTCAGATTTTGCCCGTTTATATTAATTCCCAAGTCATCCCAGTGTAGTCGTTTAAAAACATCTTCTAGCGCTTGGTTAAACAACTTGTGCGATATGGTATCTCCTTGTCTTACTCCTCGGTTTATTTTAATAGGCTCCGTTTGTTTCATTAGCTTAATAGTTGTTGTTGCCTTGTTGTATATATTTGTAATTAAGTCGGTATATCGGTAGTCTATTCTGCTGTTTTGTAGGGAATTCTGTACTGCCCAGTGTTCCACACTATCAAATGCCTTCTCAAAGTCAATAAATGCCATGTATAGCGGGATATGATATTCGTTAGTTTTTTCGATTAAAATCTTCATCGTTAAAAGGTGGTCACTTGTACTGAAGCTCTTTCTAAATCCGGCTTGTTCTCTTGCCTGGTATCCATCTAATTTAGTTGTTAATCTATTTGTTAATATTTTGGTTAATAGTTTGTACATCACATTTAATAAAGTTATGGGTCTGTAATTCTTTAGATTCTTTTTATCTCCATTCTTAAATAGTACCAGTGTTATTGCTTCGTTCCAACTGTTGGGTATTTGTTTTGTCATTAAAATTTTCTCTTCTTATCTCGTTCTTACTGATCTCTGGTTGTAAGTCGGAATTAACATTTTTTATTTTTATTTGTAGTTGCTTAAGGATTTCTTGGGTTGGTTTCTGTTTTGTATTGTAGAGGTTTTTATAATATTCTTGTGTTATCTGTATAATTTCTTCTACATTATTGGTCTCTGTACCTTCTTTGTTCTTTGACGAGACCTATTAGGTCGAAATACGTATCAAGAGATACATAGGATTTGTTTGCGTGAAATCAAATATTTGCTGCCTTTTCTCATTTTATTCGGATATACTCTGTAGGAGTACGAGAAACACAATTCGCTAAGGATTTCTGCTTAGTTGTAAAAGACATGTCGTGGAATGCAAATTTTAGATTCCCCATGTCTCTTTTAACATCTTTTATCAACATCTGTTTGCCTTGCAATTCTTAGAAGGCTCAGATTATAAAGCAGAAGTCTGAATTGTGTTTCGAAACTATTTTACGATTGTTTAATTAGATGTCGCTACTGCGTCCGTATTGAAGCCATGTTATTGTTGCTTCTTAAAAGGCAGAAAATATTGATTTTTCACGTTGAGAACCCCTATGAATAGCTCTTCTGACGAGACCTATTAGGTCGAAATACGTATCAAGAGATACATAGGATTTGTTTGCGTGAAATCAAATATTTGCTGCCTTTTCTCATTGAAATAACCTTTACTTTACGTATTTACAACTTGTGTTTATGGATGTATCTTTTTTCTGTATCCATAGTAAATAATTTTTTGAAAAATTATCCTACTGTTTCTATTAGAAATCTATTCGCAGACTGATTACACCTGCAAAGAGTCTACCACCATCTAACGTGTGCCTTTCGATCCTGAATTTGGACGTCAACTTGCTTCTCATATCTCTTTTATTCGATGAAGTTCACCGGACTTCTTCTTTAGGTACCGTCTCCTCTAAAGAGTTTGTTAATCATAATCACAGCTATTTTCACTTTTAAAATTGCAGCTCTAAACAAGTCGACGAAACTACAATTATACCACTTTTTCAGATTGTTAAGTCAGGAGATTCGTCTTCTTCCAATACTTCGTTCTCCCTGTATTTTTTTGCATTATGGTTTGTAGCAACACATATTTATCTCCTCTTATAACGTGGCCAATATATTGTAACTTTTTTATCTTAATCGTATTCATGATTTTCATTTCCTTTCTTATCTTTCTGAGGAGCTCAACATTTTGTTATTCGGTCTACCCAACTTATTTTTAATACTCTTCGATAAGTCCACATCTCGAATGCTTCAAGTCAATCGCTTACCTCTTTCCTTAATTTCCAAGCCTCCACCCCATACAGCAGCACCGAAAACACATATGAACGTAATATTTTTAATTTGAGTTGCAAACTAAGGTCTCTACTGCATAATACTTTTCTCATCTTAATAAATGTTGCTCTAGCTTGTCCAATTCTCATTTTTATTTTTTCTGTATACTCGTTATTGTCATTAATAATTGTACCAAGATATCTGTATTTTTTTACTTTTTCTATTGGAACCCCTCTTATGTTTAGAATGCCTTGTTGTTGTGTTTTGGAAATTGTCATAAATTTTGTTTTATTAGCATTAATCATTAGTCCGCTTTCCTCACTAGCATTTACTATATTATCTAAAAGTGTCTGTAGATCTTGTATATTCCCTACAATTAGTATAGTACTATCGACATATCTGATATTGTTGATGGGTCTGCCGTTGACTTTTATTCCAATTGTTACATTTTCGAGTGACTTTTTAAATATTTCTTTCGAATATAGATTGAACAATAAGGGGTAGAGTATGCAACCTTGCCTTACGCTTCTTTTTATCTCTATTTTCTCCGAAAGTTCCTTGCCTACTCTGACTTTTGCTGTTTGGTTAAAATGGAGATTAGTTATTATTCTTAAGTCTTTTTTGTCAAACTGTTTATTCTTAAGTAACTGTATAAGACAGTTGTGTCGGATCTTATTGAACGCCTTATTTTAATCAATAAAAAAAAGCTGGAGTGGTTGGTTTACATCCATACATCTTTGCATGAGGACATTAAATCCAAATAATGCCTCTCGTGTACCCATGGCATTCCTAAATCCAAATTGGATTTCAGTGATGTCTTGTACCACTTTTCTAAAAATTCTTAAATGGATAATTTTTAAGAGTATTTTTAGTGTGTGACTTATTAGACTAATTATATGGTGGTCATTACATTTCCTTCCATTAGATTTTTTTGGTAATGTAATAAATGTTGACTGAAGCCAATCTTTTGGAATAATACCCGTATTATATATAGTATTATATAACTACTAATACATTGATCTGATCTTCTAATATTAATTTAATTATTTCAGTTGGAATTTAGTCAGGCCCCGCAGTTTTATTAGATTTTGCCAGATTTATTGCATGTTCAATTTCATCTTTAGTTATATTTGGACCTACATATATCATGTTCCTCGCAATCGTTCATGCTATCTTGTTGTGTCCTGTCGTCCTCAAACAATTCTTGGACGTATTCTCTCCATCTGTTTAGTTTGCCTTTGATAACAGATATTATTTTACCGTTCGTATCAACCAGAGTGTTACTATTGTTGGACCGACTTATAACTGCTAATTCTTTAATTTTTAGTGTAATTCAAAACTATCATGATTTCTCTTCTAAACATTTGACGTTGTACCACTTCTCTTTAGCTCACCGGAAAGACGAATAGTTCACCGGAAGACGAATATGATTAAATCTTCCGTTTTCGTCTCGTTTCTCTATGTTTAACCAAATAAAGAAAACCTTGACTTAAATATTTTAAATGTAATCTTACAATTATAGATCTTAAAATCTTACAAAACAACTTAAACGACCTTGATTGCTTCGGACAAACTTAAATGTTTTTTATGTTAACAATCTAGACATCTGCAAACTCCTAACCTAAGTCTTAAGAAATATCTATCACTATCTCTCTAAATACAGCTTCTAGTCAAATCTCACTTGATCATTGTTCTAGTGTATCTCTTTCTATTCGTCTTTAAAAGAAGGACTCTATGCAAATAACACACTTAGTGACTTAACAATCCCAAATGGACAGTCTCTAATACCAGTATATTTTCCTTCTACCTCTGGTAACAAAAGAACTCGTTTCACCAACATAAGTTTTGACTTACCTACTTTATGGGTTACTGCTAGATCTCCAAACTTAAAGTTTAGAAATGCACCACCCACCATAGCCTTTGCAGCTCCTAAATCAGCTCCTAAAAAGAAATCAAAAACTGATGATGAAGAAATTGGTAAAATGAAACCCTCTCCTTAACCAACTTTGAAAAAATTAATTTGTGCTAATCCAGAACAATTTTAGTTAACAGCATTACAACTAATTTTCTTTCTGCAACATTCCTTTGGTAGTAGTGATTGTCTAGTACCAACGAACGAACTTGCTGACTCTACATCAACAATTCATAGGACTCTAACTGCAATATTATCGATCTTTTTAAAAATCTACGTAAATACTACAAGATGTATTCTTCCTACTATCTAAATTAGTTTATTTTTATTTACTATTTTGCAATGGAACTGCGATGGATATTATTTGTGCCTTAAACACATACAATATCTTACATGAATTTCCTGTTTTTTTACCTTTTTTTACCTTTCTGTTTTTTTTTTTATCTACAAGTGACTAATTGTAATGCAATGCCATTTATCCCCTCTATTTCTGATTATAAACCCTTTAAAAGATACGACTTTATTACGGAGTACTACTTCAGAGCTAGAGGAGGTGCATCAATATTTGCTTCCAGTGAAATTTTCTCAACAATGCTCATTTTGGCAAGGAATCTTCTTGAAGCATATGCCATAACCATGTATTCCCTCAAATCATCCTCTAAAAGAGAAATAATTAGATATTTAACTTCAACAGTCATTTATACTAACATGAGAATTTAACGAACATAACATTATGTACGGTTCTCAATCAACATTTCAATTCGGAAAAATAGTTGCAAATATACTTTAGTGTCCAAACTCATGCCCATTTCACACAAAATCTAATACTTACTTTAACATTTCCTCTAGATCTTACTCTACTATAGATCATAGTATTATTGACCCTAAATCTATACGTTTTATAATCTAGAAAACAGCTTGTAATCTCTTTAACAGCAATCGTTATCCTATAATTATTTCCAACAATTGTCTTAGAGCTTTCTTTACAAAAAGCTATAGGCTCCTGACTAGACTAATCAAAAACCGTTGACACACTCTTTCTTACAATAACGCCTTAATACGCCAACAGTCCGGTATTAGTCGTATCCCCAAACAGGTCTTAAATAGGACAGTCCAAAACAATAAAGCGACTAAATTTGTCGAGAAAAATCAACACTGTTAAATTAAATTGTTAAGTCGTGAGTTCGAATCTCATCTGGGTGGAGAAATTTTCGTTTATTAAAAAAAAAATAATGAATGAAAATAATTTCTATCCTTGTGCGATCGGTACTCACCGGAGGGACTGCAGACGTTCGGATACAATTAGCGTCTCTTAGCAAAGACAATGACGTCGACTTTGCTAAGAGACGCTAATTGTATTAGACACACACACATACACACACACACACACACACACACACACACACACACACACACACACACACACACACACACTACACTAGGTATCTGACTGTACCATGCCAATGATCTTAGTTGTCGAGGCATTAACTCAATTATAAAATAAAAATTAAATTGTAATTTATATTTTATACCCAATATGTAAACTACAAACTGCAATGCGTGGTAATGACCACAGATGTCAAATGCACGTTAATATAAATAAAAAATACTCCGTTTTCCTGTAAGGTAACTTCTGAAGAACACTAAACACGAAATTACTGGTCAAATAATATAACACAATGACTTTAATATATTTATAATATTAAAATATATTTAATATTAACTTATAAAAAAAATGAAATTTTGTAATGTTGTCAAAAAAAAAGTTATTTTATTTAGTACTGTCCTGTAACAACCAGTTGCCTAAACAGAATTGAAGGAGCGGCCGTAAAAATAAGAACTTCACTAGTTGGCGAAATAAAATTGGTAATAACCTTTTTTATGACCAGATAAAATTACCCCAATAATGGAGGTCGTATAAAATCAAAAAGGTTAAGTGAATGAGAAATGTTCGTTTATTAACATCAAGTAGACATTTGATCGAAATAACTTGTTATCTTGCTTTTTCTATTATGGGAACAAAAGAAATGCCACATTAATTGATTCTCTAGACTGTTGCTTTTTCAAGCTTTACAATAGAGGTACTTTAATAATAAATTAATGTGTTTTTTATCACATGTTACACTGATCATTTATCAACAAGTTAATATAGTATGATATTAATGATCACCTTTAGTTTTATAAGAAATGCATTTTTTAGCTAAAATTTTGTACGTATTTAAATATAATACCAATAAAAGCACCAATTGTTGATGAAAAATTAATGAAAACTTTAATTTGTTAGAAAATATTCGGTTCTATTAATATTCCTACTAGCGCTACTAGGTCATTTTCTTAAAAGTAACAGTGGTTTTCTTAGAATAAGTGGCTTTGTCATACAAATCAAATCAGGATTTTAAAATTATTTTCATAAAAATTTATTGAAAGCACTCAGAATGGCTAATAAAAAACATAAAATACAAACATTTTCTGCATAATATTTATACCTATAGCAAATAGAACAATTATTTAACTAATCATATTTATTAAAAATAACAAAAAAAAACAATCATCCCTGCCAATATTTTACAATAAATAAATATGGTGATCCAATATGGCCAATAAATTCTTTAATAATGCAGCCAATAAACTAAAATATAAAAAATAGCTTGTATTATAGAGACACCAAAGGGGGTTTAACTTCCTTGCCATTTTACAAAATTATAATTAAAGAAATAGTAGATGGCAAGGATAAAATGAAATATAATTATTATTAAACTTAGCTAAATTCTGCTAAGATTCCTACATGTATATAACTGAAAACGTGCTTTCGAAAGAAGTAAGGTTATGAATATTGAGAATGTCAGAATTATAGAATATAGATTACACTGAAAGTACTCACCACAAGAGAATTCTGCAGACCATAAAATGAAGCTTATAATAATTTTTGTCTTCCTTTATAAATTTCAAAAACAGACAAAAAATGATATTAATTATTATAACCCACTAGGTTAGAAAAGTTAATTGACAAAAATTAGGGCATGGCCTGGAATCTTATATGAATGACTTGGTTCATTCCCCCATCACTTTAACCCCAGCGAGTTAATAAAGAGAAATGACAGTCTATCTCCCTCACGAAAACTTTAACCAATCATAAACCAAATAAAATAATCAAACGAAGCAATGTCAATTCTGTCAAAAGTAATGACAGATCTTCCGTTTGTTTACAAGTTTTCAATTTTATTTCATTATCTTTAACTTTCGTTTGCATTTATTCTTAGTAATTTTAATTTAAATTTGGTTACTTAGTTTTTAAAGTTTAGTTTGAGTTACCTATTATAGCAAGGAATTTTTGTGTTGTGCGAGTAAAAACACTAGACATGGTGAATTATTGTATTGTTCCCTTGTGTACAAATCATGGAAAAATTACAAAAAGGATGATTGTAAGTTGCCAGGAAGCAAAAAATAATAGTATTTAACTTCTGAAAATATGTGTAATATATATTATGTAATTAGTTTATAGCTGTTTTATCTTAACAAATAAAGGTACGTGTATCTAGAAAAAATTGTGCATGTTTTTTTCAGTAAATTTTAATTAGTAAAGAAATAGCCCGTAAGAGGCGCTAAAGGTTATGTATGTAGGGGGTGGCCATTCGAATTTGCCGCCAAAAGATAATTAGTATTGACCCCAGCCGCAAGGGGTCCCAATGAACGAAATTTATACATTGAGTTGCCTATCTATTTCTACTATTATATTATTTATCTATGAATTAGGGCGATTAAAATGAAGGTAGCCACAGATGTCATAGTACGTATGCCTATGATAGAATAACCGACTCTGACCACATACAACTGAATATTCAATCTAAAAAAATAGTAAAAACGAACTAAAAGTAAAGGAATTAATAAATTAATAAAGAAATTAAAATAAAATAATTATTAAGATATAACTTAATAAAGATGTGACGTTTATAACGTTAAATATATATCTAGATAAAGATCTAGAAGAGAAAGGATTAGCAACAAACGCACTAGAGAAATAATGGGAATCAAACGAACAATCACAGATGCCCTAACAACAAAACAACTTATCTGGATCGGACACATACAAAGAATGGATAAATAACGAATACAAAAAGAAATAATAAAATGGCAACCAGAAGGAAAGAGAACACGAGGTTAGCCGAGAAAAAGTTGGTGCGAAGAAATAAAAAAAGAACTGAGAAAGAGGGCCATAGAAGAAGACATATGGAACAACCAGACTAAGTGGCGATTGGAAGTCATAAAACGAAGGAGAACGTTGTAAACCGACAAGTAGTAGTAGTGAAATTTGGGAATCCTTTCATATTTTGTCCATATTTCCTACGGCGATTTTTGCTAGATTACATCTACGTTTTATTTCTTTCTATAGTGAGCTTGTGTTTGTGAATCACAATCTGTGTTTGTGATGAATATTACCAGCTATAGGTATAAAATCACAACCTCAATAAGGTCTGTCATAGGTAAATGTGTATGATTTTCATGAAGTCTACCCATTGTCATAATCTTTGTCTTTGATATGTTAAACTAAAGTTGAAATATTTGTTTGACTTTAGTTTTAGTCAGTCGTGTGGGATCAATTAAGTCTTCTTGACTATTTGCAAAAACGTCTGTGTCATCTGCAAAACTTTTTTTAATCTATAAAACGTAGGACGTTTATCTTAAGGTCATTTATTGATATGCCCTTTTCCCATCCCTCAAGTGCTCTTATCCTAATATGCTCTCCTCGTAATAACTGTGGAGACAGTATATATCCTGTCTGAACTTTTCTCTGAATGGAATCCGTTTGATAGTGTATCAATCACTTCAACTGACGCAGTAGTGCGTTTGAATAATTCAGTGTATAGTTAGGTATTCTTGTGTAGAAAAATCCATTCCATTGGCACTCGAGCCAATGTTGTCGCCGACGTACTTATATAAATTATGTTCAACGGCCTGTATAAAACTTTCATTCAGACACAATAAATAAATGAGTAAATCTGAAAACTACCTTTCTATTTAATTGAAAAATTAATGTAGAATTTAGATAAAAGTGTTGACTTCATAT